GGCTCAAACTCACAAAATTGTGAGATCATGACCTGAGCCAAAACCAAGACTCGGAAGCTTAACCAACTAAGTGACTCAGCTGCCCCTACATTTTGATTTGTGTTTAAATATTCAAAAAACAATATGAAAATGTTTTACAGGAGAGCTATATTAGAGACAGGTAACAGGTTAGTACAGGTAGGGAAGATGATCGAATAAACCCAACCAGTGGCAAGGAGCAAGTGCTGGGGTAAAGATATAGTTCAAAGGTAAACTGAATTAAGTCTTAGTGACCAATTTTATCATTAAGAATATTATAAAAGAGAGAACCCAGAAACTGGAGTTGATGGCCTAAATGGCTTTAAAGTGAATTACGAATGGGGTGCCTGAGTGGTTCAGCCGGTTAAGCTGTGGACTCTTGATTGCAGCTCAGGTCATGAACTTACGGTTCATGAGATAGAGCCCCATGTCGGGCTCCACACTGACAGTGTGCAAAGCCTACTTTTGATGCTGTCTCTCCCTCTCTCTCTCTCTGCCTCTCCCCACTCACACTTACTCTCTCTCAAAATAAATAAATACACTTAAGAAATTCTTAAAGTGAATTATTAAAAAAAAAAGAACAAGTAAATTTCATATTTGGTTGTCATTTGAACTTGTTTGGCTTCTATTAGGAAGCACTGATAAAGTTAATGATCTCAGTTTGGGATAGACAAAGATATCCAAGAGTAATATTACCTAATAAGCAGTTAGAAACACAGGTGATAGTGCCCTGCATCTCCTTACGAACTTTAAGTGTCAGCTTGTGTGTTTTAAGGTCCCCAAAGCAAGAGGAATGGATGAGATCAAACAGGAAAAAGACAACATCCTGAGAAAGATTAGTAAAAGTGGGCAGAAGAGGAAGAATCAGAAGAGGCCAAGGGAGTAGAAAGGGAGTACAGAGCAAACAGGACCAGCAGGGAATGGAGCTGTGGGGCCCATGAGATAAGAAATTGCCAAAAAAGTATAAATGGTGCCAACAATGAGTTGAGTGGAGTGAGATTTCAAATGATAGAAGAACTAAAAGGGTGTCAGTCACAACAGACACATTTGGATATCACTGGGAGCATTAGCAAGGGAAATCCCAGTCAAGTTTGAAACGAGACTTCATAATTTAATAGGCATTTGAAAACATACGGGAAGGGGGCGGCTGGGTGGCTCATTTGGTTAAGCCTCCAACTTCAGCTCAGGTCATGATCTCATGGTTCGTGAGTTCGAGTCTGGAAGCCCGCTTCAGTCTCTCTCTTTCTGCTCCTCCCCTGCCCCCTCAAAAAGAAATAAACATAACAAAAAAGAAAAGAATATGGGAAGACCCTGCATACAGACAACTGAAGTTGTTTAGCAGTGAAGAGAAGGTTAAATTAGCGAGGTCACTAGAAGTGATGTCACTGGTATGAAAGAATGGTTTTGCTTCTACTCCCTCTACAGGTGGAAAAGACTTGAGCATTTCTTTAAAAAAAATTTTCTTTTGGATGTTTATTTTTGAGAGAGACAGAGACAGAATGTGAGTGGGTTGGGGCAGAGAGAGAGGGAGACACAGAATCTGAAGCAGGCTGCAGGCTCCGAGCTGTCAGCCCAGAGCCTGACGCGGGGCTCAAACTCACAAGCCGTGAGATCATGACCTGAGCTGAAGTCGGACGCTCAACCGACTGAGCCACTCAGGCGCCCCAAGACTCGAGCATTTCTATAGGCTGAAAGGAATATTCAGTGGACATGAAGGGATTGAAGAAAAAGACTAATTGATGGCATATGGTTCTTTATCAATGAGAGTAGATCAGACGATAAAATCGGGACGATGGGTATCCTCAGCATCTTAACTAAAATGTGTTTCATGAGGGAAATATTCACTGTTGGAAACGCTTAAGTGGGCAGCGAAAAAGGGTGAGCCATTTTTGCAACTCTTCCAATCATGCAAAGGATACCGTGTTGCAGTTAATATAAGGTACAGATAAAGATATGTCATAGAGAGGGTGATTAAGGTGGACAGATGTACCTGCAATCATTATGGCACATGGGCAGTGGCTTGAAATGTGAGGTAGAAGTCCTGCAGGAGGGACAGATGTTCACTGTGTACTACTGTGTCCTCACAGCCTCTAACATGGCACTCCCCAAAGTTCCCCTTTGGCTGCTCAGATTAAGAACTGAAATACCTTTAGTTTTCTCTTTAGGTTTCTGATAAATCAGCAAGAATACTTGGAAAATTATGTCTTTAGAGAAGACAGTCAGATTTTAAATTATGCACCGGAAAGACCATTGATTGAAGTGATGCAGAGGGAGTGTCATCCTCCACTCCGGTCCAGGCCTAAGTCACTGCTGTATATCTAATCCTTCACAAAGAGCTTTGAGTAAGAAGGACTTTATAATAGATGTATGGCTAAATGTTACAGATGGGAACATACAGTATGCAAAATATTAGCACCTGTTGAATCTGGTTAGTGAACATATTCAATTATTATTATATAATAATATTATTCATTATGCATATAATTATTATTCATATATTCATATTATTCATTATTTATATTATTCAATTATTCATATAATAGATATATGGCTAAATATTACAGATGGAAACATATGTACATATACAGTATGCAAAATATTAGCACTTGTTGAATCTGGTTAGTGAACATATTCATTCAATTATTATTTCTATTTTCCATTTATGTATATACATTTCTACTGTAACTCCACATATTTTTACATGCATTTGACTCTGAAACAATGCATGTTAAGTTACAAATATAAATTACTTGGTGCATGGTATGTGTTTAATACGTGTTATTTCCTTCCATTAGAACACCTGTTTTCTGTCACCGTCACTTAGCATATAAGGCCTTGTTCTGTACCTTTTGAGTTAACTATTTTATTTTCGCAAATATACAATATGATTCTTGAGGACGTTCTTCTCTATTTCTTCTTTCTACTCACCAAGTTTATGGTGCCTTATTGGAAATAAGAAAATGCTTATTGGATAAACCCTTAAATTTCACTCCTAGAGAGGAGTTTTAATCAACAAGAGAGACAGGACTAGACTCCTCCCTTAGCCTACCATCCATGTTTACTCTTTTATGGGAGGGTAGACTATGAGTTCCTTGAGGCAAAGGCCCTGTCTCAGATACTGTCTTTTAAGTCTGGAGAGCAGAGCACTCTGCTTGGCATACCCACTGGATGTTTATTGAATGAATGAATAAATGATTGCCTAAATGAATAACTATCAGAACAGAAGATATTTAAATCCTTTCAACATCCCACAGATTTCATTCGAGGCAGCTGACCAAATAGAAAACAGTTTGCATTCTTTTATCCTCTACACTGATCTTAAATGAGGTCTTCATTCTGATTATTTAATGAGACTGTAAGACAGAAAACTGAAAGCCGTGGAGAAATCCAAGATAGAAGGCTGTGAAAATAAAAATAACCAACCAACCAAAGAATAATTATTGTCAATTGCAGGACAGCCAACGCAAAGAGAAGATATTGGAAAGTGAGTTCAACCAAAGATACTCAGAATTACAGAATTTTTGAGAGGTCAGATCATGTAGTTTAAGTTTTATTTTTCAAAGGAGGAATCCTAGACTCTGTGACTTATTCTAAGTAAGAGGCTACAAAATTTCTAGATGCTTATTCAAATGAAGAGCAAAGACACAATCACCAGGTCACTAACTTGACTCTGTCCGTTACAGTGGTGAGACACGTTTGGTTTACACTTTCTCCTTAAAGATTTAAAACAAAAGAAAGACAGTTTTGAACATTTTTCTTCAGTACTGATTTCAGAGATCAAAGATACCTTAGCAATTAAAATAGAGAAAATGTGGTCTACTTACCCATTCTGTATGGCAGCTGTGGGGTCATAGGTCAGAGCCATGCCAGCCTGTATACAGGGAGGAAAGGGGAGAAATCAAATCTTAACACTTTATCTCGGTGCCCAAAACATTCAGTCCACACAAATACTTTTATCTTTACTTTCCGCGATTTAAGTTTATTTTATCCTATACATTTTTCCATTCTTACTGCCAAGACTAGCATTTTTACTACCCACACATCAGAATCCACCAGCGAGTTAGGAGTTTATATTATATATCCAGACAAACCAAGGAACAATGCAGTTTGGATGATTTCCATATCTACTTCATAAACCATCCTCTGTCTAATCTGGTATCCTTATGATTTCTCACTTTTGTCAAGAGCACCTATTGTACATCTCGTGGATGAAAAAAAAAAAGGAAGAATAAATCTTGTGGTCAGGATAAAAATAATAGCTACTTAAAATGCATTCGCCCTTTTAGAAGGAAATGTTAAGAAACATTTATTTTAAAATAGGTGGTATGCCTCAGGGGTGTGTAGGTAATAAGGGGCAGTGTGCTTGTCCGATGTACCGCTAGTGCCTGTCCTACTAAGAATGGTAGAAAGGCAAGGTCATTTACACATGAGGGAAATTTTAGGCCTTGTAGTTAATCAGGAGCTGCTTTCGTCCTAAGTGTACTTCTAAGAATACACTCACCTTTGAAAAACTAAACTTCTGTAACTGGCAGTAGTTTCAGAAAAGAATAATAAACTTCATGACTGCTAATTCACAGCCTACCTCCTTTCTTTCTTTTTTTTTCTACCTCCTTTCTTCATACACATATCACATCTGATTCTCACAAAAGCCCTACGGAGTAGGCGGGAGAAATAGCTTCTCCATTTTATCGATGGAGACCCTGAAGCTTGGAGAGGTCAAGTGATTTGCTAAAAGGTCACATGTAGCCCATGTCTTCTGATGCAGGCTGCCTTCCACTACCTATGACACTGACTGAGGGTCTGCATGAGGCCTGATGATCATCTCTAGCAATGTGGGAGAACTTTTTCTGTGCACGTCTGGTCATGTCACCTTTATTTTTGAACTTAAAATTTTTTTAATGGTTTATTTATTTTTGAGAGACAGAGCGTGAGTGGGGGAGGGGCAGAGAGAGACAGAGAGGGAGACACAGAATCCGAAGTAGGCTCCAGGCTCTGAGCTGTCGGCACGGAGCCTGACGCAGGGCTCAAACCCACTAGCCATGAGATCATGACCTGAGCCAAAGTCGGACGTTTAACCAACTGAGCCACCCAGACACCCCTATCATACCACCTTGTGTTTTCCAACACTGTCTGTCTGTTTACTGCTTGTGAGTATAAACAGAATGTGGAAGGAAAACGGACTAGGTTGTTATCAGGTTGGCTTTTTTTTTTTAATTTGAAAGTAAATTAGACCGATGTCAATTTCCTGGCTTTGATAGTACACTATAATTATGTAATATATAACCATTGGGAGAAAGGGGATGAAGGGTACACAGGGCCTCCTTGTACATTTCTTTTACAACATCCCATGAATCTATAATCATCGCAAAATAAAAAGAAAAAAAATGAATGAACTTTGAGGACTTTAGTAGAAGACAAGAAAAATCATGAAAACTTTAGAGAAAAGAGAGAGGAGTTTTGTGCTTGAATTTTCTCCAGTGTGGGTGAAGGTAGTTTTCCTACTGGGCTCATTGAATTCCTCAGAGTTAGCACATAACTGAAATGGAAATTCTCAGGCTTTCCAAGATAGGGTCTGAAGTTCAGTATGCCCTGCTATAGTCAAGCTTAGATTACATGCATTATTTTTCCCAGTTTTAAAATTGTTATTAAGATTGGTATAAAGAACAAAAGTGTAGAGCTGTATACGAATGGGACTGGCATACTGGGAGCACACAGAAATGGAAACAGAGTTTGCAAGCAAAGTTGAGATGACTTTCAGAAGTTAACAGAGGTGCACTGAGAATACATGTGTAATGATAACTGCGTCTCACTCATGTTAAAGAAACATGCAACTGATATTAGGACAAGGTAGGGGATTGGAAAATAAGAAGAGAGTAACAGAGCAGAGATAAAGATAGGCTTTCTCCCCCTCGGGAGAAACAAAGGTCGTGGTGTCAAATAGAGATCCTAAGTCTAAAATTTTCCCAAGATGGGGCCTATGCCATGTGACAGACAAGAGGCTGGGTCCAGGCTGAAGACTCCCCAGAACGGGCCTATCTGGGGTGCAGCTGATACTCCGTGGTTCTAGATCCTGGAGAGGGCAGTTGTATAAATTGCCCATTGGGCATAGAACTCTTTCTTAGAAACACTAACCTTCTTTCCCCTAACTTATTCAAGATGTTACACCAGAGGCAGAATGAAAAGAATGGGCTTTATACTCCATAGAGATATTGCTAGTTTGTGAGTTTAAGATGAAATAATACCTTTAGCCTCCTAACCACCAGAGACTGTTTAAATCCTAGGGGACTTATAGGATGCCTTTCCTAGTCAACCTCATGTTTTCCCCTTTTCCTTGGACTTATTTTCCAATAGTGCTCGGAGACCAATGCTATTTATCATTTCTTGAATGACCAATTATCTTGAACATTCTCTTCTCGTGCCATGTTTATTTGTCCTGACAACATTAGGTAAGGATTTTTTCTCTCACCTATTACTTGAATTTCTTGTGGGTTATAGTTAACAAATCAGCCCCAACTAGGAACACAGTAATTATCAATAAACTCTACCTTTTTGTTGAATATGCATTTGATAATCAGGAAGCCTAAGTTGGCCTCTACCTACATCTGAAACCTCCATCCATCTTTCAGAAGACGGAAAAGAACTGAATAGATGGCAATATGGTTTTGTGGAAAGAATATATATTTTGGACCTAGGTTCAAGTCTTAACTCTATTATTTCTGGCAGTGTGACCTTGGTTCAAGTCTTAACTCTATTATTTCTGGCAGTGTGACCTTGGGCAAATTATTTAACCTGTTTCAACCTCAGTTTCCTCAGCTGTTAAATGGTTAATACCTACCTCATCAGATTGTTGTGAAATTTAAATGAGATTACGTTTGTAAAGTATCCAGCACAGTGCCTGGAGACAAGACACATACATGAATATTATAAAACAAAGCAACACGTGGTGAGAGCCATCTGAGTGGTATGGATGGGTGAGGGATAGAGGAGAGAGGCTGGGGGTAACCAGGGAAAGCATGTGGAAGATGTAGAGATGAGTGGAGCCTTGAAAGACGATTAGGATTTCCATAGATCGAGATGAGAGATGGAGGCCGGCTCAGACAAAAGGAATAGCATGGAAAAGACAAAGAAATAAAAAGGGCAAGGTGGGTGATTCATCTGCAGTAGAACATTGTGGTGGGGGGTGGGGTAGTGGGAATTCAGAGTCAAAAGAAAAGGAGGGAGAACCTTGATTGCCTGGCTCCTCTTAGGGAGGCATGGGATATTTTTTGAGCAGGGCAATTACACAATCAAAGAGGGATTGTCCAATCCCAAGAAATAGCATGAGCCCCCTGGAAAACAGAGGGTAAATCCAGAGCAATAAGCAACTGGAGTAGGTACTCGGGGACAGGCAGGTGGAGAGGATCTCAAGTGCGACTGTCATCGCAAGAGGGTAGGGAATGAACACAAGATTCACCTACTTCATGATTTTGCCTAGAGACAGTCATGTCTCTGAGCACCTTTGGCAAGAGGAGACAAAAGATAGTTTCAGGTCATATACATATGGAACATTACGGGTAACAAAACAAGGCATGGGTTAAACAAAGGGTTGTGTGAACGTAGCCCACTGGCTGAATATCATAGCACAATAACTAACACTTGGCTGCACCTGGTTTTCATTTCATGTGTAACAGATTGTTGAGTTATAATTCTAATATAGTCTTAATGCAGATTTTGCATTCAATTTCCTTTTGTTTCTTTCCACAAAGGTACAAAAGAAAATCAATTTTGCTGCCCTGTCTAGCCACCTTTACACTAAGTGAAGAACCATGAAATCATCATTATGTAATTACCAAATTTTATGGCATGTTTACAAACTCCAGAGTCACACAAAAAGTAACTTGGAACAAAACAAAAATGTCACACCACATATGGAGGGAAGTGATGTTTAATCCGGTCTCTCTGTTTCAAAAGAGCTTATGAGATGCACAAATATTTTCCATTTTTCAAGTTTACATAAGTTGTGCATTGGAAGTGTTTGCAATTTATTTAAACGAAAGGGGGCATTTTTGTCATTTTCCACCAGCAGCTGAGTTTTTGCTTAGTATTTCAACCATAATAGGATATTTCTAGTCACCCCGGCAGAATCTATACTATAAGAGCCAAACAGTTTAGAAGAAATTTTAAAATACAGTTTGCTGAATTAAGGTATCTAATTATTTTCAATAAATATAGGGATTTCATTAAGACACATCAGTTTGACTTAGGAGTTAGATATTTGATTTTTATAACTTTAAATGATTAACAAGTTAAATGAAGAGGTAATAATCATGGAAATACTGCTCAAAATATGCTCAGTAGGGAGTAGGCATTAACACTTCAGAAAGATTCTTGGACTGTAATGCTTGGTCTTTCCAAGGAGCAGAGGATCATGGACTGTAACAAAGCTAATGAGAAGACAGGCTGATAGAACTGATTTTATCATTTTTGAAACTATTTTTTAAATTTATTAACATTTATTTATTTTTGAGAGACAGAGAGACAGAGAGACAGAGAGAGACAGAACATGAGTGGGGGAGGGGCAGAGAGAGAGGGAGACACAGAATCCGAAGCAGGCTCTAGCCTCTGAGCAGTCAGCACAGAGCCCTAAGCAGGGATCAGACTCACGGACCCTGAGATCAAGACCTGAGCCGAAGTCAGACGCCTAACTGACCAAGCCACCCAGGTACCCCTGAAACTATTTTTATATTGTCATGTAAATGGGGACCAAAAAGTTTGAGGCAATAAACTTCATATGGATAGACATACACTGTAATTACTGGAAAATGGAAACATCAATGTGTTAGCATAACATTTCTCTTTTTTTCTAAATTCTGTCTTGACAAATGATGCATC